CATTTTATGGGTACATTTTTTGTTATTTGCATTCAAATTATGCCTAGCAATTTCAAAAAAAGGGGCAGCAATATTGCCACTTAATATGCCTAATGATTTCCTTTAATGTGGCGCTTCGCAGTTTTATGAACCAAAAAGTCCACCATTTTGCTGCCTAATTTATGCAGGACCCGGCTGCTGCTGCTTTTCACTTTTTTCCTCTCGCTTGTTTCCCCCGTAATAATTTGTAATTAATTTAGCATCTGGCCAGGCCAGCTCCAGCTTGATGAAGAACACGGGAAAAAAGCGATGGTAGCTTTTTGTCAGACGCTCGCGCATATTTATGGTATAAATTTCTAAAGCAATTAATTGGACATTTTGCTAATGCGTTTGCCACTTGCAGTTTTTGCCCTCCATCCATCTTCCGCTTAGCGAATCGTGCAATTTCCGAAATTACGATATCAAAATTGTCCCCTAGCTGCATAGTTGCCTCACTCTTTTTCCTCATTGTTTGTTATATTTTTATGGCACTATCGATTTTCGCTTTGCCCCTCTGATATAAGTACACAGAAGTGAGGGTAGTAGAAAAACTTTATCAAAGCGCAAACTAAGTTTGGCTACGTAATTCAAAGAGAATTTTTCTTCTGACTAGGATAGTAGTAGTAGTCGTTTGGGTATATGAATATCATAAATATGCAGGGTATATTTACACACGGGGCTCCATTAACTGGGGGAAAACGCTTCCAAAACGTCGCATGCAACGGGGGTCGACGACTATCGCTTTTCCACCACCCACAATGTCAATACATCAACCACAACCACAACAAACAACGAGGGTGGCCACAAGAGTTCTAGTGCTACTCAAGCCAGCTTATATCGCTTTGAGAACCACTCAGCTCTCGAGATGTCACTGAACATTTATTTTTTCTCTTGACCAAACTGCATCGGCCCGAATAGAGTAATTCGAGGAGGGCTAAAAATTGAGCTTGTGGCCAAGAACTCTCCAGCCGATAAGTGGGCGGATGAGTGGGTGTGGCTGTGGATGTGCGGACACTGATTGCACATGTGTTTGCATGCCATTAAAGCGACAGTCGGTCGGTCCCACACTGTTTACAAATGCGATAATTAGGCGCCACCCCAGCGTCTGTTGGCCAAAACCGAAAGCAAAGGCCAAACTAAAGGCCAAGCCGTGCCAATTTGCTAAGCACACACACACACACACACACACACACACACTCGCCTGTGAGATTATGAATTATATTATAAAGCCTTATAAGCAAGGTCCTATCGCTCCAGTGGAACACACCACTTAAATGCCGTTTTGGGCTTCTAATTATGTTGTCCTCGTCTCGTTCTCATTCTTGTTCCCTCTTATATTTGCTCACGTTGTCTGTTGTGAAGGAAAATATATAAACAAACGAAAAAGGAGGAGACAACAAACAGCAATTACATGCGTTTATATTATTCAAATCCGCCGTAAATGTAATTAAGCTCATGAGAGTTAAGCACAAATTTATTTTCACGCTCCAAGGTGGTCGTAAAAAATTCGCAATCCTTTTCCCCCACTTTGGCTCTTGCGTTTGCTTATCGGACTAATTTCCACGAAGGAATGGGGCTTTGCGTATCGCATATAAATTGGCTCATTGCCGGGGGTCGTTGTCTCTGCGCTTCTTGATTTCTTTTTGATAAGCATTGGCATTTCCGTTGGCTTATATTCAGTAAAAGGTTTAAAGTTGTGCGCTTTGCTATTGGAAGGGAGAAGGGGGACCGAAAGTTTTTTGGGAACATTAAAAACCAATCAGGCACATTGTCACATAATCAGCAGGCTGATCATCGGAGTTTCCGAGCTTACATGTGGCAGCGTTTGCCCGCAATCTTTTCTCTATTATGATTATTTTTTTATAAGCTCCCCACTGGAGTATATAGCTGCTGCAGTTGCTATCATCGTGTCACACACAGGGACAACTCTTTGCCAACATAATAGTTTTGCTTATGAAAACAAATTCAATTTTGAAGCTGCTTATGGAAATGTTTATGCAAGACGTGAGCGCAAACTATGCGCATATCGGGGGCGTTGGGGGAAAATTAATGTCACATGACGGGGCGAGTGAGTGAGCGCGCACGAGTCGGAAAAACAGGGGTGAAAATTCGAGAGGGGATGAGGCTGGCTGATGGGCTATGGGCGATGGGCGGTGGGCGGTCGAAATGGGCGTGGCGCTGTGCATGCAACCAGATAAACGGGACAACAGCAGCAGCGTCATGACTCTTGGCATATTTTACAGTACAGTTTCGCAACTAGCGATGTGCTCCTAAGTTGACGCTAACAAATTGAAAATCATTGAACGCTGGGGTGAAGCAGGGATGTGTGTAACTGCAGCTGAAAAATATTGTAGCATACATTTAAGCAAATTGCAATTAAGGTGAACGAGCGAGGGGCTGTGCGGGGCTGTGATGCACTATGTTGTTTGTTTGCCAGCCATTACCCTGTTCATTGGACCGACTTTCGCTCCCAATCCCCAATCCCCGTTTTCCCAGCGCCTGCTGACAAAGTGTGCCAATATGGCACACAAAGTATGCAACAATTTGCAGCATAAATACTTTGTGGACCACCACACCCCAGTCACACAACTGTGGCCATATGCGTACTTTTATTTGTCTAGCTTTCGGTACCACAACCACCCAGCCACCCACATAAACTCACATAGAGAGGCTGGGTTTTAATGGATTTCTGGGCAGCTCGTTTTGAGGTTTGCTTGAAGAAATGCGTTCTTTGTTGCAGACCTACCCTCCATTTTGTTTTGTCATGCCACTGTTGCAATGCCAAGTTAAATTCCTGGTAGGGATACAAAATGTTAAATTTCTAACCGCATGTCCTGTCCACTAACAATTTTCATATCCGCACAGCAAAAGTTCCCTAATTGCAAACGAACTAGGTACTTAATCGCGACACACTTGTCGTATACGTAATCCAAACAGCAAATTTTGTGTATGCAAATGACTGCGGTTTCTGCGTCGCTAACGCGCAAACACACTTAACTCTCCGTAAAAACTAAACTAAACTCCAACTTCCGCCTGCCCGACGAACACATAATCTAAAATAATTTGTGCGCGGTGAAAATTTACACCTGCTCAGTTTGCCATCGCTCCTTTTCGACGCCTTGCGTGTGAAACATTTTCCAGCAATTGCATGCAACAATTCCCCGAATGCTTAAACATTTTAGGCACGCTTCCGACGTCTTCGTCCAGCCAGGGGCGTGAATTTCTTTTCTTGGCCCAATGCCCCCTAAACCCCTAAAGCCCCTAGCGCAAACTTGATTTTCGGGGGCAGCAACGGAAGCTGGGGCTGGCAATTTCGTTTGGCTGGCGTCACGCATTCGCCCCGTGTAGCAGCAAATCAGCAACGGCGGTGAATTTCAATTAAAGCCCAAGCAGCGGGCACTCCCGCACTTGAGAAATGAATAACTATGTTTTTTTGGCTGGCTGGCCAGTTGCTCGAGGCCTTGGGTTAATCCGAATTGTTATTGACTCTGAGCTATATCGAAGGCTTGGGCGAAACCCAAACATTTTCGTTACCCAAACTGCCTGAAGTTGTTCCATTGGCAATGGATTATTTACTTATGGCAAAGTTGGTAAATTGAAACGTGCCTATGTCAAGTTTTCCGGGGGCGACGAAACGCTTTAAAATTCGCACGTAAATCCAAACGGATTAAGGACTTGTGAAAAATTGCATCAATTTGTGTTGTTTGCATTCGTCGTTGCCCCGCCCTGCCGCGAAAACACAGCGGACAGGTCCAAACTAACAGCCAACATAAAAATGCCAGATTTTTTTTTCCCAAACACAAACCTTGTTGTTTTCGCTCGCTCCCTCTCTCCTTATTTTTCGACCAACTTCTCACCGAGAGTGTGTGTGTGTGTGTGTGGATTTTATGCAAATATTTTGTCAGGTAGCCCCAAAGTCCAAAATAAACCAGCCATGACGAGGTCCCTCCGCAATGCGAAGCCACAGCTCGCTGGGAATCCGGCTTTGCCAGGACGACGTGGTGCAACTAAATCAAATCAAAACAAAAACAGCTCCGAAATGGCAACTCGGGCAGCCATTTTGCCATAACAAGCGCCATGCAAATTGAGTTCCGTGAATGTGTGTCTCACTTTTTCCCTCAACTTTGCGAGTGATTAGGTTAAAGTGTTTGGGTTAAACAAGGCCAAAAAAAAAAGTTTGGCGCCTTGGTGGCGTCAGTTTTAAAGTTAATTAAATGCCTGCCAACTTGGGCGATGTCTCGGCCATATTTCGAGCGACATTTTGGCAGTTTGTCGCAGTTTTGGCTTTAATTACAAGACGTTGGCAGATTTGCGAGGCTGTGGTTGTTGCCAGAGAGCTTTCTTATTGCCTTCGTCCAAGGGCTGGCGTTTATTGTTCGGTTGCTGGAATGGATATTGTACCAATACGAGTGGTTCCATTTCGATGCCACTCTGGTGGGCAACACACAATGCGACCGACGTAAAGCAAAACACAAAATGGGACCCCGAAGAACACAGCAGCGTAGACCAATTTGGGCTGTATATTCTGCACATTTTTTCCTGCGACTGCCAAAAATTCAATTAACTTACATGCCAAACCGCAGCCGGCATGAAAGGGGCACCATTTCACTAACCGCAGCCAAAAATGTCAGCACCACGACTCCTCCCCTCCCGCCCCTTTGGAAAATCCGCCCCTGGTCTGTGGGTTGTCTGTGAGCCGGCTTCGTGGTTTCCCCTTTTCGGTTTAGGTTTTAGATTTGGATATTAGAGAAGGAAGTCTTCAACTTTTGGAATCTCGGAGCGACCAATTTAATGCCCTTTACCATGCAACAACAATAATTTTGATAGCTTTAAGTTTTCAGTTTTAATCCGATTGGCACAACTAAACAAATATTTTCCGTTTATCTTTTGTTTCGTTTCATTTATAATTTGCTACCCCCGCTTATTGTTGTTGCATGCAATTGAATAACCAAATGTACAAAAATGTGCACAAAAACATGCAGTACCGACTCTGCCGACACCACAACAACAACATGTACCGACACATCAACACCACCACCACCACCAACAACAACAACAACAACAACATCAAGCACCACCACAACAACAACAACACCACCATCACCACCAACATCAACTAGTTGCCCCAGCTCAATCGCACAATCTTTGTCAATTTAAAGAGCCACCGCTATTGGGACCCGGCGCCGCCTTCCCGCCATTCGGAGCCCCAGAATATCATCCCACCACGCCCGAGAATTGGAAGGGCGCCGCCATCCATCCCACTGGCCTCATGAAGGAGCCCGCCGGTGTTGTGCCCGGACGCAATGCTCCGGTGGCCTTCACACCGCAAGGACAGGCTCAGGTGAGTATTGTGGGAGTGTTCCAGAGGCGGTGTACAAATACCCAATTTTTGTTTGTCCACAATTTCTGATCAAGACTCTCCCTTACCCAAGACAGTATTTTAATTAACTCTTGTTGTCCTCCACTTCCAACTCCTCCTCGCTGCATCATCTTCAGGGCGCCGTCATGATGGTCTACGGCCTGGACCACGACACTTCCAACACGGATAAGCTCTTCAATTTGGTTTGCCTGTATGGCAATGTGGCACGGGTAAGTTAAAACAAAATTGCCCTTTAATTGTAAGACAGAAGATAGCCATTCTGATTTAATTTGATGGAATCGGGGTTGATTAAATTATATTGTTGGGCTGCCAATTGGGAGTGTTTAAAGAGTAAAGGAAAAGTATTGCACAAAATATTTGAATCGTTGAATCCAAAATATAGTTATTTGATATTTGGCTTGTTAATTTAACCACCTTACAAAGTAAAATATATTATAACTGATATTTCTAGTAAAGTTATTAAAAGAAAGTCCCAGTGTAGCAAGAAAAGGTTTCTTAATTTGTTCTTACAAGGCTAACAGGAACCATTAATATTTTTTGGGTTTTTCTGGTCGATAAATCATCCCGACCTTTCTTGAAAATTTGGGAGAAACGGTCCCCAGTTGTCCTCTTGGTTTTTAAGTAAACTAAAGTTAAGGCACACTCAAATGTTCTGTTTAACACTTCACTTGAGGGAACACACGCTTTTCCCTATCATCCGGCCAACCCTTTGCTTATGACCTTTTAGATTGTAAAAGAAAGCGAAAAAAGAAATATCCTCAACATGCACTTAGCCAGAAAGCTGACAAAAAAAAAGAAAAGAAGGGAAAATACGCATTTCATTGCCACCGCTTTGCTTGGTCGTCAGCACTTTGCGGTTAAATATCGGCCGATGGAAAAAAAGGTGTTTTTGAGTGTGGAAGCCAACCGCAAGACCACTTTGTGTCTGTGTTCCATTTGTAAATGTGCAAATAAAACGAAAGGCAATAAAAGGACGAGGCCGGGACAGTGCAGAGACCAGTAGAACCGCCAGCCATATTGTAGGCCAGTGAGCAGTTGGATCGGCTAAACACATTTAGATAAAGCGTTTTAGATTAATATCCCCACTATGTGTGGGGTTTTCTGGTTATTCTATGGATGTGGGAAAGGCAGCCGCCTCGGGACAGCAATCAGTGCAGCGTCATCAGCTTTATATGTGGGGGCGTGGGCGTGGCGGGTGTGTCCCACCCAATCCAAACCCCAAACCCTTACTTCTTCTTTTCCACCACCTCCAACTCGAGCAATGGCAAAACGATTGGCAAGTCGCTTGTAAATCAAAACACGATGACGACCAAAAAAGAATCCATTAAAAAGCTTTGGCGAATGGCAATTTGGAATGTGCTCATTGTTAGTCGCCAGGCGAAAACGGAAAGCCCGCCGGGGGAGCATTTAGTGCAGCCACAGAAAAACGCCTTAGCTATCTGAACCAACCACTCACCCGCCGAACAATGAGTTTGTGGGGAGCGCCGCACCAACATCAAAGTCAAATGCTAAAAACTTCTTTGCCGTGTGCCAGAGCTTTCACTTTATTGCTACTATGATTCCGCCCACTTCTTCCAATGCGAGTGTGTGTCCTTTGACAATTGCGCTCGCCAAGGACAACGCGGTGGGCGGTCCCCCTTCGCTCCCCGACATGTTGTGTTTAGTTTATGTCAGTGATAAAGCGAGTCAAGGCGACTGAAGGAGACCACACACGAACCACTTTCACCGCACACTGAAGTAGCTGGGAGCCAAAGGTTATTCAACGTTTCAAAGGAGTTTAATCGTTAAAGAATTTTAGTGTGTCGTATACTAAACGAATGACAACTCATACAATATCACTTACATGCTTGGTCTTTAACCCCACTTTAAAACTGAAACAGAAACGAAAGCCATGAATTTATATGCTCTTAATTGGTTTAACTTAATTTTTCAAATGGCTATTTAATCTTTTAACAAATTTTATAGTCAAGCGGGAGTTTTGGATTGATGGAATTAGAACAAAAATCTTTTCCAATTATTAAATAAAGTGCCAGAATTCTGGCTTAAAGAATTTCCTAAGGAATTAACTCACTAATGTAATTGGTTTTGCATCACATCACATGCAAGCTTCTTTCTTTTTTAGTTTTTTGGCATTCACCAACTGCCCTCCATTAGCCTATAATTTAACTGACCTTTGCTTTACTCCATTCCAACCGATACACCCACAATTTCTAGAAAGACTCTCATTTGGCCATTACTTTAGTTGGGAGGGCACGATAATTCAAGGCGCGGCGCCATTTAGTTCAGTTTCTTTCTCTGACACTTGCACCCGCTCGAGGAAAGAGATGTAGGGTGGCTGGCCGGCTGGCCATAGGACCATAGGGCCAAATTTATTGCGAACTTCCTGTCCGAGACGGAAACTACTCATTAGCCATTAAAAATGATTATGCGCAAACATTATTCACTGGGCGGCTGAGCTGCAAACATACATTTCTTCATTCTGGCCACCCACCCACACGCTTTTTTAGCCCAACTCTCGGTTTCCGACCGAGTTTTCTTCCACCCATCGCAAAGCGTTTGGTTCGCTGCGCCTGTCGCTATGCAACTGAGTTCACAAGAGTGAAAAGCCAGGGCTGTTGCCTCATTATAAAGTCGATGTGTATGTGTGTTGCGGGTGGGGGCTGGTGTGTGGGTGTGTGAGGTGCTCTGTTTGGATGTATCTGCAAGTTTATGGGCCGACATGTTTGAATTGCGAATGAGAAATTGATGGCTACTCAATCAAAGTGCCGTTGCATGAGTGTATCCATCGCCAGCCTCTTTTTGTGACCGGCCCACACCATGTGTTGGTGCTAATGGGATTCCCATGGGGAGTACCATTCCGGATCTTGTCTTCCCTAAATTATGGATAAACGAAAGCCGGATGCCCTTGCCCTCTGGATTCCAGAAACGGAAATACACCGTATTAGATTTCAATAAGTCGGCCCTAATAGGGTTTGGCATAAACATTTCGCTGGAAGGAATTTGATTAACCTGCCGAAAAATATGTTTGCTTAAATTTCCAGCTATCGATATTGACTGGGGCAAAGCTGTCAAATATGTCCAAAGGAGGAACCCAGGGGAATACGCTTGAATTGTGTTTGCATTTTGCGATTTGTAATTTCCACTTTTCCTGCCACCTCCCCCAAAAGAAAATATTGCCAAGCACAGTTTCCTTCCGCCCCAACGAAGCAATCTGGTTAATTATTTCTGGGTCCGGGCGATGAAGTCATCAACAAATTGATTTTCAGGTTAAATGGCATGACAAAAATAAGGACAGGAGAGCAACGACTTGAGGGACTCTGAACGACAGGCTGCTGACAGCAGGGCAAAGGTTTTCGGAAAAGTCAAATGGCGAGTGTGGGTTTAAAGGCCAACAAAATACACGCACTCAATTAAATACGCATTAAAAAAACATTTGGATACAATGTGGGATGGGATGGGATGGGATGGGCTGGGCAGGGCAAATCGAAGGGATGGATGGATGGGTGGGTGATGGGGGCATAGGTCAGCCGTTGTTGCTGCTGTTGCTTTTAAGCTGCGCGTGAGCAATTAAATCAAATGGCAGAGCAGACACCATGCCACATTGCACAACAAAGCGATCTCGAGCGAGAGGGTCGCAATTTAATTAACGCAGTGGCGCACTAGGGGGTCATATGGGTTGGAAAATGGGAAAATGGCAAGGGATAATTGGGGGGACGGGGTGGAGTACAGCACAGCTCATTAGACACGCACCGAATGTTTGCCGCTGCTGCGGCTGCGGCTGTTGACCAGCACTGACCATCCAGCCATGAAGCGCTCTTTGATTTGACCAGAGAATCCTGCTGGCGCGGTTCTATTTCTGTGTGTGTGTGAGAGTGGTATCCTTATGTTTGCATGTTTGTAATTTCATTATCGTTTTGTTTCTGGGCATTCATGGCAGCAGCACAGCAGCAGGGGCTATCTGGCCGCTTTCTGCTTGACTGATTTATGGTCTATATTTATTTTTATACATTGTTTTATTTTTATGATTTCGTTTCGTGTCTCACATTGGGTTTCGGTTTCGGTTTCGCATTCGCATTCGATAAGCCTCATTTAGTTTTTATTTACTTTTGGCCAGACCCACTCGATCCCATACTTTGATTCCGTACTCCATTCAGGCGTATTCGTTTTGATTGCGTCCCATGAGCGTTGCCACGGAATGCCATGCACCGTACGTAGTTTGAATGCGGATGTGTCAGGGGGTTTGGTTTAATTATAAGCAAATTGTTTGCCCCATTTACACACGGACCGCCATTCCCCGTCCGTCGTCCGCCGTTGCCTTTGTTTATTTTGAACTGTTTGCAGTTCATTATAATATAATTGGGTATGTGCGAAGGACATACATACATGGATGATATTTAATAATTGAATAATTTATTTAATGAGCTTATAATTTGTGCAGCATGCTCGGGAAAAAAAAGAGTATCGATTTCTGCGCCCTGAGCAGGACTTCTTGCTGGTTTTCTGCTTGTGCAGCTGGCCTCTGGCCGCAATTAGCTTGGCCAAGTGCGCCTGCAGTCATAATTAAATTCGGTCGACCCCAACTGCAGTCGCCGCAAACCGAGCGGAAAATAAATCAAGATAGAAAAACTAAATGCCAAGCTCACTTCTCGGTGCGTGTAAAGAGAAAAACACCCGACATCAATACGCCAAATTAAGGCATTTGAAAAACAAAATTGCAGCGGCGTCCAATTTGGACAGGTGCTCTCGGTCCGCTTCTCTATTTTTCGCTGGCCAACCGAGTCAATTGCGAAAACTCGTTTCAGCTTTTGGCCAAAATACAGGCCCCCGCTCCGCATGAGTTCAATGCCTGGCAGCGGCCAGCAAATTGATTTGCCAATGCATCCAGCCAGTCAACCAGCCAACCAGCCAAGCGAGTGAATTATCCAAGCTGAGCCGCCAGCATTTCCATTGATTTTCACTTTCTCCCGGCTCTGGGCACGTTTTGTAATTGTTGCTTGGGAAATTATTATGCTCAATTACTTTTATAATGCAACAAATCGTTTTTTAGTAAGGTGTAAAGAATTACGAGGGGAAAACCAATTTTTTAAGATTTGTGTACCAATAAATAGTAGCCCCTTTATGAAGACAGACTATAAAAAAGAGAAACCACCTTTATTAAATGTAAAAAAAATCTTTTTCCTTTCTAAAACTCTTCCAATCCAATTAAAGTCAGCTGCAACTTTTTCGCCTTTTCAGCATTATCAATTTCCTATACTCATAATAATACAAGGCAGTGTCAAATGACATTCCGAATATTTGTCAAGTGAAAATCACAAGCAATGATAATATTTTCAGCTATTTTTGGCTATTGGGCACGTACACGACTGACTTTGATGACCCAATAAGGCAGGGTTCGGCTATAACCATTGTGGGAGTGGCCGGGCGTGTACTCATATGACGGCAATACCCACAATGAATGGAGAATTAAGGACGCCATTCTGTTATATAATTGCGTTTGAAGAAAATTTTAAATTGAATTCAATGAAAATGTAGAACTCTGCTCCGTTTCTCCCCTGGCAGAGCAGATTGGGTTAAGAGCGAGAGATGACAGCGACAAGAGAATTCAATCAACCTGGAGGCACCCTTGGGCAGGGAAACATAGTGGAAGTCGGGGTAGAAGAGGCCATAGTGTGGACCAGCTGGGGCATATAATTTAATTACACCGGGGTGGACGTTGCAGGTGACCAACAATGATTGAATGGCGTCGCTATCGTCACTTTTGGGGAATATCAATTATGGTTAAAATATTAAAAATAAAATATGACTTTTCTTCCCGTTCCAGATCAAGTTCTTGAAGACCAAAGAGGGCACCGCCATGGTGCAAATGGGCGACTCGGTGGCCGTTGAGCGTTGCGTACAGCACTTGAACAACATTCCCGTGGGCACTGGCGGCAAAATACAGATCGCATTCTCCAAACAGAATTTCCTATCCGAGGTGATCAACCCGTTCTTGCTGCCCGATCATACACCCAGCTTCAAGGAGTACACTGGCTCCAAGAACAATCGTTTCCTATCGCCGGCCCAGGCCAGCAAGAATCGCATTCAACCACCGAGCAAGGTGCGTTTTCAACATGTTTTCTTTTGAAATGTGATATTTAAATAAATATCCCCTTCACCTTAGATTTTGCACTTTTTCAACACACCGCCCGGTCTGACCGAGGACCAGCTGATTGGAATCTTCAACATCAAGGATGTGCCAGCCACATCGGTGCGCCTGTTCCCCTTGAAGACCGAGCGCTCGTCATCGGGACTGATCGAGTTCCCCAACATCTCGCAGGCTGTGCTGGCCATCATGAAGTGCAACCATCTGCCTATTGAGGGTAAAGGTGAGATAGTGTTGTGTTTAAGTGTTATTCAAAAGAAAGTCAAATCTATATGTGGCCATCCTCCCGAAAATCAAAACCGAAACCGAAAATTTACACAAAATTCTCACTCACTCTCTCTCTGTCTTTGTCCCTCATCAAAAACCCTTAAGAACGCGCCCCAATAAGTAGGCAACTTTATTTTTCGACCCCACCCAAAAAACTCCCAGCTGAACGAGAGTCTAAAGTTTGGCAGCTATTTTGCATGGCCTTTCGACTTGTGCTGTTGTGCAGCAGCAGCAGCCGCACATCAAAAATTACACCCACCATCCACCAACCATCCAAAAACCATCATCCACACTCACACCCACACCCACACCCTGAAAAGCTACCACTTGCCGCCTGCCCCTCAATACAAACTTCAACCTTTCATGTTTCTTTGGCTGTTTTTGTGGGGTGGTGGTGTAACAAAAACTTTGCAGTTACGTTGCCTGCGATGAAAATTTTAATTTGGTAATTAAGATAAACAATTTCAGTTTGCAGTTATTCATAAATGTGTCGCCCTCTCGGCGCTTGCAGCGCTTCGCCAACAATTAGTCTCGGGACTCGCGGCTCGGTTACAAATGGCTAGACGACCGATATAAACTTTTCGCATAAATATTTCACCAGCAGCAGGTCCCCTTAAAATAAATTACAATTCCGCAAATTCTAGGGTTTTATGTGCATGTTTACATGGCCAATATTCATTTGACAACTAGAACATTTAGCAATGCATTTATTCAGAAAGGTTGGCAAAGAATTAGTTCACTTTTTCTTGACTTTGACACACCTTAAAAAAGGGCTTACAGCTGCTTGCTGTCATTGTTTGCTACGCTACGCTACGCCATGTGGGGGAGAAAATCGATTAGGAAAGTGGCCAACAGAACTGTTCAATGCTCATGCATAAATTGTCGATATCCTCGATTTGATTATTTGTCGTTGGCGCATTTGAGATGCTGCTCGGAGGGCTGCTCGAGTGCTTGGTAAATAGTAATTAAAAGTGTAAAGAAGGCAAACACAATCGCACGAATGCATGGCCATGCATTCCTGGGCAAATGGAAATGCAAATGCAAATGCAAGTGCATACTGATTGCAAACACGCCAGTGCGTACTTTTAGGCGGCAGAATTATGCTGCTGGCAAACAAATGGCTCTTTTCACCCTCCATCGGTTATACATATACCACACATATAGCACATTGCTGTTTTGCTATTTGAGTGATTTCGATTGCTCCGTGTAAAATCATTCAGGCAGCGGGCCTCAATTGCATTGCATTGGTGAAGGCAAACGGCTTAATTCGTTTTCAACCCATTCATCCCCAATAAACCACCCCCGCCCCTCCAATACCTTCGCACAATCAAAGATTGCGCTTGCAAAATCAATAAAACTAAATTCAAGAATATACAACACTTATACACTATACTACACCATAACTTAATGAATATGTGTGACTATAACCATTGTTTTCGTCAAGGAACAACACCACCTTATACATGTTTTATGCGTGCTCTCTCCTCCCTCTCTTCTCCACTTTAGGCACCAAGTTCCCATTCATCATGAAGCTGTGCTTTTCCTCGTCCAAGAGCATGAATGGCGCCTGGAACAATGCGACCAGCGAGGGCATGATCGAGAAGGAGAACGAGGTCGATACCAAGGTGGACATCTACAATTGAGATTTGATTACGATTGTGTAAGCAAGCAAACAACAACCGGCTTAACTAGAACACAATACAAAACTATACTGAAGGAGGAGGGGAATTGGTCGTAGACAACAGGCAAAAGACAACAACAACAACTACAGCAGCAGTAGCAGGCAGCAGCAGCAGGCAGCAGCAACTGCAACAGCTACAGCTTCAACTTCAACTTCAATTTCAACTTCAACAACAGATCGACAAACTTGATGATGGCTTACACATTCGATATGACATGCTGACGGAGAATGCTGCGGCAACAACTGAAGAATTTCAAACAAATTGATTGCTAAATCAACTTATAAAAAAAACCAACTACAATTAATTCAATTAAGCGCAAACGCATGTAACTTTTCTACGAGCCATTTGCATAGATTTACTGAATTCACCATATATCAATTCAGCTAATTAATATGACAGCCTATGTACGATATGGCCTCGTTTAAAAGCCACACCGAATGAACACTTGATGCACATTACATTACATTACATTACATGCGTTTGCGTGGCAACAACAAAAACATGCAAAATAATATAAAAAATTTTGAATTGTTATTATTGTTACAATGAAGCATTAGGACTTTCTCACACAACTGCAAGAAAACGGAAAAAACTTCAACCAATTGTAAACTATGTAATGTTTAATTGATAAAAAAAAACGACAAACTAAACCAAAAATAAATAATTGTAACTCAAAAACGAAACCATGTTAAAATAACTATAGAAATTCCCTGCCCCCGCTCCGCTCTTCCCCCTCAAACGCACGTACCTCCTTCCTCTTTGACCTTTGACCCCAATCTCCCACCACTCCTTATTCCCACATCCCACGGCAGACTTCTGTATAGTTAATGTAATATGATTTGAATTTGGATACGAATATATTAATGCAACAAAAAGAAACATTTCTTTGGACAATATTTCGACAAGTATTCGGGCGTGAGAAAAAGTCTTAACAAAAAATATTTATTGAACGGATAATATTTGTGTAAATTAAAACCAAAAATTTAGCAATTTTAAATGAAATTTATTAATTTTAGTTATGCAAACAAGTAAAGCTCTGCAAACTGCTGCACCGACCACTGCAGCATGTATGGCAGTTGATTTTAAATTTCTTACTTTAACGAATACAAAAACAAAAGGAAAGAAATAAAAACTTGCACAAGCCAATGTTTTTACTATTAACAAAACAAGAAAAAGACAAGATGGTAAACATAATTTTTGTGCTTAATTTACAAAGTTAAAAAAGGCATAAATTTATATGTATGAGATGTATTTGTATTTACATTAAAATTAATTTTAATTTACACTAAATGTAAAAAGCAAAATAACTAAAACAAAACAAAAGAATAAAAATTAACACAAGCTAAGGAAAAAAAAAAAAGATTAAAACTACAAGAAAATTTAGTTAAGTGCAAATCTAAAAAAGAGCATCTAGCATAGTTAAGAAGCAGCATCGTTCAGACATGCAGACAGCAAAACATACAACAAAACAACATATTTTTGAGGCGTTTTAAAATTAGAAGACAGAGCCAAACATTTCAGAACTCCAAGTAAAGTTAGCCAAGCAAAGCTACTACTAAAGATGGGTGAGGGCGTATTGCAAATGCGAGTAAAAGTCGACGAAAACAAAAGAATTAACAATATCAGCAATAAAGCAACAGCAACAACACCATATCAAAGGCGTATGTTAGATAACCTATAATATAAACAAAATTAACAAGAGATGCGAAATAATAATGTAATACGTATGATATAATCAATGGGTTCACTTGAGTTGTATAATTTTACTTTTAAGCCCAGCTGGTAGGCAGTTTGAGACCTACAGAGATCCGTGCTCATAACTGCCTTCCTACAGGGCATTGTTCTATACTACATTTGTTTTTAATGCAAATCAACGAATACATAATGCTAGGGCCGCTAAACGAATTTTCTTCACACTTTTCGTAGTTCACCGCTTGACAGCATTGTTAAGCTTTCATGTAGATCATTTCATTCATATAACTATCAATTAAACTATGTGCAATTTGGGCTTTAAACGAGACTTCGTTTGTTCTATTTTATTTATTGCAATTTTCTCATTTCGATAACTAGTTCGTGTAATTATTTCAAGTGTCTTTACAGTCTTAGTTATTATGTAAATTGTTTTTTAATCCTTAATTGTAAAATATTTTTCTAAAAATTAAGTATTATTGTACTTAATTTAAATAATTAACATGATTTAACGACAAACGGGAATTAATTATAAAGAAGCAAACAATCTCGTTAATAATTAATTAATAAAAATTACTTTTTAAGGAAATAAAGCAACAACGATCTTGAAGCTCCTAATTTGATCATAATCAGATCAATAAACAAACTACTATAATACAATAATACATAATATAAAATATAAAATAAATAAAAACTTGGTAGCTATTTAATTTACGAATATAAAAAGTGTAATCTGGAATTTTTATTGTTAATAGTTTTATTTGACATTTAACACAATTTGTTTTGTGTTTATTTTTCTTATCTTTAATTTTGTATGAGTAAAAATAGAGACAAATAAATATATTTATATATTTAGCTGATGAAATCTTTTGGTACTTGCCTCAAAGGAAGCATGGCAACGTCAGTTGAATATATATAAAATCATAAATATATTTATGCGTGTATTTATATGATTTGTTTTATTTAATATTTAAATTTTGTTGTTATTTTTTAAAGCGTATTTTTTAAGCCCAGAGTTTGTAACATGCGCGCTCATATTTTGATATAAATATATATGTAAAAGTATCTGGCAATTGCATTTTTATTTTGATCATCATCACCATCATTGTCAGGTTTTTGTATATTCTAATAGGAATTGAAACATGACAAATAATTTGCTTTTGAAACTATAGAAAACTCGCAAGCATTTAAAGCAAAATAAAGTTAAAAAGCATCCTATAACGCACATCCTTTTCTTTTTGTTTATGGGCATGAGAACAGCGACTAATGAAAAGTAAACCTAAACTAAATTATATGCCAAATAATCTCTAGTGTTATCCTGAATTTTGAACATATCAAAATTTTGAAGCATTCAAATTTAAGGGCCTAAGTTTTGTAATTATACAATTTAGGCATTATCAATGTAAAAAAAAGAAAAATACAATGACCCGAGCACTTTTCAATAAGCAGCAAAAATGCGAACAGACATAATCCTTACAATCCTCTACGAAAACGCCAATAAGAATTGTATGTAAGCAAATAGAGCAAACAAAAATAAAAACAAAAAAAACCCAAGAATAGATTTAAGCTATAATTTGAAATAAGTAATTACTTTAAAGTATTATTTAAAAACACAATTTTTAAAAATTTGATAACTAGGAAAATTTTTTATGTTTATTTGCGCTTATGTTCCCAAAACGAAATTTAGCAAGAAAATAATCTTCTAGTAGCAATTATTTAAATATAATTTAAACGCATTCGAAATTAAATAAAAGAAAATTAGTCAAATTTCGTTAAACAATTTTGTTGAATTGAAACAAGATCATTTAAAGGTTGTCAACGACAAGAACTTGTTATGAAGGCCTTCCCAAACCGCTGGCTTTTGCTAATTGCATGTAATTTTATGTAGCAATTTCTTAATTATGTGTTCATTTAAATTACGTTTGCAATTGCCTCGTAGTTTTCAACTCCAAAAAAATGCTCATGGGGTACAAGGTAGGTGCTGTTTATAAGTAACAACTCACAATTTTCCTGAACTTGTCCACCCAATCAAACATTGGTTCGTTCGGAATGCCATTGTTGCAATGGCAGGTCCACATTTTTCGTGTATTTTCAATCAATTCGTCTTAGTTCGTTAGACAATTTGCCTAATGACACCAACTACACAAATGGACCAGTTTGTTCAATACTGAATTGACAACCACCAAGAATCAAAACAAAATGAAATTATTAAAATTTGTGAAACCGTCCAATTATGAAACAGCAACAACAGCAACACTGACACCACACACGAGTTGAAAACTGGGTACATTATTACTTTAAAGAGGGAGAAACAGTAGAGCATTGCTCGAGTTTCTGAAGTGTCTTTCACTGAGCTTTACAATGCAAACATTTTTGGAGCAAGGGTTTTTTGGCGACACCAGCAAAAATTTCCGTCTTCGGTTTTGCGCTTTTCGACTATTTTACTATTTTTTCTTCCGTGCCGCTTGAACACGCTTACCAGTTACGAGCTGCATTCAATTTGCTAAACGTCTACGATCCTATGAGAGCTTTTGTTTGCTACTATCGTTTTCTGTTTTTAAGTTGATACCCCCCGAGAGGCAAATGAGAAACACTAAACAAAACAAGAACTTTGTACACCGAAACGAATTCATAATTATCTAGAATGCATGTGCATAATGAGAAAAAAAGAATAACAACTAATGGATAAAGAAACCTATGAAAAACGAATAAACAAAAGATGAACAACTAAAACTATATTCTTATAGGCTTATAGTTTATACTTACATACACACATACAAATACTTATATACATAAATATTTATATATAAATATATATATATATATCAGAGGTCATAACATACATAGTAATACGACACCACATCCACATATATACATTCGAATATAGTTTTTAATAAAAGAGAAGGTAGCGCGAGTCAATTTTAAAAGCAAGAAAATTCTTAACCAGACAAATCTTAAAAAATGAAGCGAAAAATTAAGCGCAAATATAAACAAAGAAGTTACTTTGGCGTTATTAGTAATGCAATTACATGTATGAGAAGCGAATACTTACATAATTACACCACAAATTACACCCACTACACAACAGACACAGATACAGACACAGACAGACAAACAGGAGACACGAATACAGACACAGACAGACGAGGACGAAGGCAAGTTTTAAAGGGCAAACGGACAACTGCATAGTGTAGTCGTATGCGTAATTACTGGTGATAATTTTGAAAAAAAAAATCTAATACAAATCAAATAATATGAGTAATTTTAACATAAGCAAATGCTAGCACGTTTGAATTTCCAATAGATGTCTATTATGTATTAGAAACGTATATAAATATATATTGACGATTCCTTATTAACAACACATACCTAAATGTCTTAGTGTGCAAGTATGTAAAAAAAAATGTAAGCCACAACGCAAAGTAAACGAAATTGCAAGAAACGAAATTCGATGAAATCATTTCCCCTCCCTTACAGGAACGAGTATTAGTGAATTAGGCCTGGTATTTAGCAGACATTATTTAGTTACCCGACATGCAGCATGAATAAACCACCCACCCGTTCAGGTCCGCTCAAGAACTAGTCCAGGCGCAGGCACAGACCCAGGCACAGACCAAGGCCCAGGAGCTCAAATGCCCGGCTGGGACCTTAATAATTTATTAGCAATTTTAAGCTCCCATATGCGAGCGGGCTGCCCTGCCCAGAACAATTGCATACTCTCGGGCTGCAATTAGTTGGTGTATGTGTGCTGGTGCTCAGTTCAAATCCGAATGCACAGGCCTCTGGTCCGCAGGACCTGCAGTTTATCAGTACTCCGATGTGGCAGCCATGACGATTCCATTTAACAATAACCGACCGGTTGTAAGCCATCACACACACACACACACACACACACAGACACACAGAGACACTACAGGATACGCACACTCACTTAGAGCCAAACCGCAGGGCAGTTGTGCAATATAATTTCAGTTGTGTTCGGTTAATAC